ATTTAACAGTATATAGGTTATGCGAAGGGCTTTCGTTTTTTTTCTTTTGTTTGTCAAACTTAATTGAAAACTCGTGAAAAATCACGAGAATAAAAAGTACTTTAACGTATATAAAAAGTTAAAAAAATTTTTTTTATTAAATTGCCTAAGACACTGTAGATCATCACTGAATATCGGTTTGTCCACCATGCTCTCTTAAATATAGTATTACTAGTTGGTAAAAATTTTATCAGTTAATTAGTTACTAACTATATATAGTTGCAATTAATCAATTTTTTATATTATGTAACTAAATTTACTAATTAACCAATCAAACTAAAAAAATATATATAGATTAGTCTGACTAGACAGAATATTTTAGCATTAAATGAGTTGTTAATTAAAATTAATTAGTTGTTTTAAATTTTTCTAAATCAATTAGTTGAAAACTTATCAATTAGTTGATTTTTAACTAAATAATTTGGACTACTAGTCTACAAGAGAATATGCTATCTGATCACTGAACTTTGCTATCCAAAGTCAAAGTATATTTGTTTGAACCCTCTTGATTCAGTTCATAGAGTCTCTAATATAGTAGAAACTAAAAGAAATGAAAAATAAAATATACTCATGAGAATACATTATATCCAGTAGTATAACCTTGCATATTTTCTATCCTGTTTTTCCAAGTTGTCTATGAATATATAAAGATGGTATAATTTCAGATGCTCTGGTATTGAGGATAAATTTGTATTCCTTATTATTACTAAGAACTAGAATCACAAAAATTATATTCAAACAAAACAGAATTTTTATTTGTTTCATTAACTCTTTTAACATGAATTCTAATCTTTCAATATTTGCTGTAAATTATAATTAAAGCATGTTAAATTTATATTTGAGATCTATATTGAAATAGACATTTCAAACCATATAGGTGTAAGTCAATAAAAATCAAGCAAATTACTTTTATTGAATTTTTTGTTAAAACTTTATATATTAATAACTTAATCAAAACTTGATTCAAATTTAATAAAAATTTTTTTTAAACAAATTCTATAAGTTTTTAGAATTTATTTAAAAAAATTTTTATTAAATTTGATTAAGTTTTTGTTGAGTTATTATTGTTTAAAGTTAAAAAAAAATTTACTTAGAAAAAATTGCTTGATTTCTATTGACTCAACCCTATATATTCATTACCATCATCAACACACAAGAGCATGCACTATTCTTGCTGGTGAAACTTTCACATGTTGCGATAGATCAACTGGCATATAAATGGAGCCAATCAATTCATCCTCGATGTCGGCTACTTGCTGGTTTATGTATTTTGGTCCAAATTTAATCACTTTTTGTTGATATATCAACACCCAATCATTCTTATGTGTATCAAATGCACCCTTATCAAGATTATCAAAGAAATAGAGATGATTAAGCGCAACTTCTTTGTCATCCCAGAAAACGAAATCCTTGTAATATTCGGGCATTGAAGTAGGCCATCTGAAGTCTGGTCCATACGATCTACGAAGGAATAAAGAAAATGTTAGATCATATTACTTGTCGGTTAAATAGCTTTCGGGAATTGAGCAACAACCAAAAAACAAAGTAGGGTAGATGTGTTGCATTTTGGATTAACAAGATTCTTGTCCGGTTGATATTTATACATGTGATATAATTTATACCGAGACTATCTTAGTCATGAAACGTATGTACGTACGTACGATAACGTTTGAGTGCTACACAGAGAAAATCTAATATTAAAC